AATGGGATCGCCAAGTGCTAAAGTGCGCAGTGGGTAAAAATCGTCTGTCCTTGGTTGCAACACTCACTACCGAGTTCCAAATTGCCTCTGGAAGCAACGTCAGAACAATAACTGTTCAAATCAAATTTTATTGGTCACATACACATATTTAGCAGATGTTATTGTGGGTGTAGCAAAGTGCTTGTTCGTCGGGAGCTTCATGAAATGGGTTTCCATGGCCGAGCAGCTGCACACAAGCCTAAGATCACCATGCGCAATGCCAAGCGTCGGCTGGAGTGGTGTAAAGCTCGCCGCCATTGGATTCTGGAGCAGTTTAAATGCGTTCTCTGGAGTGATAAATCACGCTTCACCATCTGGCAGTCCGATGGACGAATCTGGGTTTGGCGGATGCCAGGAGAACGCTAACTGCCCGAATGCATAGTGCCAACTGTAAAGTTTGGTGGAGGAGGAATAATGGTCTGGCGCTGTTTTTCATTGTTCGGGCTAGGGCCCCTTAGTTCCAGTGAAGGGAAATCTTAATGCTACAGCATACAATGACATTATAGACGATTCTGTGCTTCCAACTGTGGCAACAGTTTGGGGAAGGCCCTTTCCTGTTTCAGCATGACAATGCCCCATTGCACAAAGGAAGGTCCATACAGAAATTGTTTGTTGAGATCGGTGTGGAAGAACTTGACTGGCCTGCACAGAGCCCTGACCTCAACCTCATCGAAAACCTGTGGGATGAATAGGAATGCCGACTGCGAGCCAGGCCTAATCGCCCAACATCAGTGCCTGACCTCCCTAATGCTCGTCGCTGAATGGAAGCAAGTCCCCACAGCAATGTGTCAACATCTAGTGGAAAGCCTTCCCAGAAGAGTGGAGGCTGTTATACAGTGGCTTGCGAAAGTATTCACCCCCCTTGGTATTTTTCCTATTTTGGTATTTTTCCTATTTTGTTGCCTTACAACCTGGAATTAAAATGGATTTTGGGGAGGTTTGTATAATTTGATTTACAATACATGCCTACCACTTTGAAGATGCAAAATAATTTTTTTGGTGAAACAAACAAGAAATAAGACCAGTAAGACCTGGCGGCGTAGTGTGTTACTGATGGTAGGCTTTGTTACTTTGGTCCCAGCTCTCTGCAGGTCATTCACTAGGTCCCCCCGTGTGGTTCTGGGATTTTTGCTCACCGTTCTTGTGATCATTTTGACCCCACGGGGTGAGATCTTGCGTGGAGCCCCAGATCGAGGGAGATGTCTTCCATTTCCTAATAATTGCTCCCACAGTTGATTTCTTCAAACCAAGCTGCTTACCTATTGCAGATTCAGTCTTCCCAGCCTGGTGCAGGTCTACAATTTTGTTTCTGGTGTCCTTTGACAGCTCTTTGGTCTTGGCCATAGTGGAGTTTGGAGTGTGACTGTTTGAGGTTGTGGACAGGTGTCTTTTATACTGATAACAAGTTCAAACAGGTGCCATTAATACAGGTAACGAGTGGAGGACAGAGGAGCCTCTTAAAGAAGAAGTTACAGGTCTGTGAGAGCCAGAAATCTTGCTTGTTTGTAGGTGACCAAATACTTATTTTCCACCATAATTTGCAAATAAATTCATGAAAAATCCTACAATGTGATTTTCTGGAGAAAAAAAATCTCAATTTGTCTGTCATAGTTGACGTGTACCTATGATGAAAATTACAGGCCTCTCTCATCTTTTTAAGTGGGAGAACTTGCACAATTGGTGGCTGACTAAATACTTTTTTCCCCCACTGTATGTGACTTCTGAAGGTAATTGGTTGCACCAGATCTTATTTAGGGGCATCATAGCAAAGGGGGTGAATATATATGCACGCACCACTTTTCCGCTATTTATTTTTTAGAAATGTTTTAAACCAATTGACTATTTTGTGTATGTCCGTTACATGAAATCCAAATAAAAATCCATTTAAATTACAGTTTGTAATGCAACAAAATAGGACAAACGCCGAGGGGGATTAATAATTTTGCAAGGCACTGTAGCAGCAAAGGGGGGGACCAACTCCATATGAATGCCCATGATTTTAGAATGAGATGTTCGACGAGCATGTGTCCACATTCTTTTGGTCATGTAGTGTATTTTTGATATTACCCTAATAAAGTTTTGAAATGTTTGTGAAGGTTTGGTGTGGTGTTGCTATTGGACTATTATACTGCAGGCCTATGATATAAAGGCAGTGCGCACAGGTGCTCCAACTGACTTCGACAGTTGAACTTGAGGTGAGGAAGAATGTGTTTAGGCCTACCAGAGTTATTCCTATAACAATATAATGCTTATCTTTATAAAAAATATTCTAATTGCAAATTAACGAATTTGCCTCCTTCTGTATGCCTATATCTGTATAGCAGACACAGTAGCCTATCTGACAAGTATAAAGAAATGCATGTCGGTGTCGTAGCATGCCACCTGCATATCTCTATCTCTCTCGCTATCGCTCTCTCTCTCTCTGGGACTAGGCCTAAGCTTCTCTTCCTTTATATTTATTTTTTAAAATATTAATACAGAGGACACCTAAGCCAATAGGCCTATGCATGCAATGCCCTGATGCATTTAGTGCTCAAATCTCCAGCAGCTGAACCATGAAGAGGACAACTACTGTTTTAGTAAAAGCCACATTTTTGCATTTGCTACAGATCGAAACACAAGGAATAGTGTTTTTGTAATTAGTTTTAAGCTGTTTTTAAGGACACGTAAATGTGGCTCATTTGGCCAATATCCCTCGTTTATTCATGACGCTGGCTGCGTTGGTGGTCACTGGACGGCCTAATGGGTTACGCACCCAATGCATATGGATGACCAGTAAACTTCTCAAATGTCCGATAAATTAAAATCTTCCCGGTCACTAGTCTGGCGCCTGAAACCCTGACACACACACACACACACACACACACACACACACGCACACACGCACACACGCACATTCACAAACACACATTCACACATATAGCTACAGGTGAGGGGAAGGAAGGGAGAAGAAACATGGATAGCCTATAGAACAGGGGAGCACCTATAGATCCAGCAGAGGTCAATGAAACGCAGACCGTGGGGGATAGGACGCTGCCGGATTGGTGCACATTCAACAAACCTGATCTAACAAAGTGGATATTTGTCAACTCCGTCATGACTGATGTATTGTAACAGGCCCACAATGTGGTTACTAAAGTCTGATTTTGATATATTTGGCCGTTTTCGCTGCATAACATTTAGAAGTTGTTCCTTTTCAAGTTTAGAAGTGACTGCTAAATGCTAACTCCCGTTCGTATAAGCTGGTGGCATAGCTAGCATACAGAAATCGGTGGTGGTAGTCAAAGTAGTTTTTAACTGTAATGAAGTTGATTGGTGACAATGACATGAACATGTATTGGGGTTAAAATCCATACAAGCAATATACTCTGATTTTTACCATAACATACTGTGAAATACACATATAAACAACAGCGTAAATGTAGGCTAATTTTGCTTGGGGTCAATGAGCAGATTTGGGATCTTTCCCCCACGCGTTTCCATTGTTTGGTTAGAGTTCCATTGAGATCTTTACCGCATCTATAGAACAGAACAGGAGACAGCCTATAGAACAGGAGAGAGCCTATACAACAGGAGAGAGCCTATACAACAGGAGAGAGCCTATACAACAGGAGAGAGCCTATACAACAGGAGAGAGCCTATACAACAGGAGAGAGCCTATACAACAGGAGAGAGCCTATACAACAGGAGAGAGCCTATACAACAGGAGAGAGCCTATACAACAGGAGACAGCCTATACAACAGGAGACAGCCTATACAACAGGAGACAGCCTATACAACAGGAGACAGCCTATACAACAGGAGACAGCCTATACAACAGGAGAGAGCCTATACAACAGGAGGAGAGCCTATACACACGGAGAGAGCCTATACAACAGGAGAGAGCCTATACAACAGGAGAGAGCCCTATACAACAGGAGAGAGCCTATACAACAGGAGAGAGCCTATACAACAGGAGAGAGCCTATACAACAGGAGAGATCCTATACAACAGGAGAGGAGCCTATACAACAGGAGAGAGCCTATACAACAGGAGAGAGCCTATACAACAGGAGAGAGCCTATACAACAGGAGAGAGCCTATACAACAGGAGAGAGCCTATACAACAGGAGAGAGCCTATACAACAGGAGAGAGCCTATACAACAGGAGAGAGCCTATACAACAGGAGACAGCCTATAGAACAGGAGACAGCCTATAGAACAGGAGACAGCCTATAGAACAGGAGACAGCCTATAGAACAGGAGACAGCCTATAGAACAGGAGACAGCCGATAGAACAGGAGACAGCCTATAGAACAGGAGACAGCCTATAGAACAGGAGACAGCCTATAGAACAGGAGACAGCCTATAGAACAGGAGACAGCCTATAGAACAGGAGACAGCCTATAGAACAGGAGAGGGGGAAGAGAGAAAGAGATAAGCTGGCAAAGAGGAATGAAAGAGGACACGGTAGAAATAGAGAATAAAGGCAAGAGAGAGAATAAGGGGAACAAATATGGTGATTATGAGGGATAGAGAGAAGAAAGCCAGAAGGATGCAGAGAGACATTTCCTGCAGCAGAAGGGAACTCCAAAGCATTGACTCAGTTGCCAAGCAACAGAACACAAGATGAAACGAGACAGAGAGCACTTCAGTGTGCGTGTGCTGGTTTGTTTCAGACGGACAGACACACAGACACACGAGCAGTGTAGTCCAGCAGGGTTCACAGCACTCTAACCCTCCTCTGCTCTCTAACAGTCTAATACAAGATCTACTAATTGCCTGTTCAACCCTCCTCCCATCTCCTCTTCCCTCCCCCTCTTCCTTCCATCTATCCTCTCCTGTGCTTTTCTCTTCCCACCCTCCCCTTTAACCCCACCTTCTCTCCAGCGCTGAAGCTCAATACTCTCCAGTGGTTTCCTCTCATCCTTTCCTCAGCTGCTTTAGGCAGCTCTCTCCTATTTAGCCCACAGTCATCAGTCTTCACCACAACATTACACGGCTGCTGACACAAAACATGCTTTGATAAAATAAGCAATGAAAGAGAGTGAGGTAAGTGTATGCGTGTGTCCTACCGGTGCCAGAGGGAGTAGAGGTGACTCCGTGACACGGCAGACTGCCGTTCCTCAGTAGGGAAGGAGACTTCTGGATCCCACCGCTAATACCAACACCCAGCAGACCTCTCTCTCCTACTCTCTCTCCTCCACCTCCTCCGGGCCGGCCTGGCAGAGCGCTGGTAGAGGAGGGGGAAGGAGAGGAGGATGAGGTGGCGCAGAGAGAAGAGGAGGGGAGAGGTAGCGGTGCTGTGTGGTGCTCAGGTCCGTCTGTAGCCTTGCCGTCCGGAACACTAAAGCAGGGTCCGTATCGGTTCCTCCAGTTTCCTCTCTTCTTCTTCTCCTTCACCCCTTCTTCTCCTCCTCCTTCTCCTCCTCCCCCAATCCCTGGCCCAGAGGAGGAGGCAGCAGAGGAAGAGGAGGATGATGAGGGCCGTTTGTAGCCGGCTGTGGAAGCAATGTTCCCCGTCGGCTCGCTGTGAGAGTTCTCGTACAGTTTACCTCCGGCTACGCAGCCAGGAAGTGACATCATTGAGCCGAAGGTGCTGAGCGACGCCATGCACTCAGAGGCCGTGACCTCACTGGGCTTCACTAGGCAACGGCTGAAAGAGGGCGAAGAGAAGGAGTCCCCGCCTCCGGAGCGCAGCGACGGATCAGAGAAGCCCAGGAAGTCAGAGGTGGGAGGAATCAAGGTGGAGGACGTCTTATTGGACAGCAGGAGGGCTGGGAGAGAGAGAGAGAGAGAGGAGAAGCTGTTTGGAGACTTAAAACACACACAAGCTAAGTTTCCATCCGATTGGCGACAGATTTATGCAAATATTCTCAAATCTGCATAAAGAAAATATGCGCATTTTCCCACCAGTGGTGTGTTTCCACCAAACAGACTTACAATCAATAAGTGATGACATAGTGCACACAAAAGTACTTTTTCGCTTAAGTTTTCATGTACCGAATAAACATAGAAAAGTTCAATGTGTTTGCATCGCATTTTCAACTCTACCGATAGTTTTGTCACAAAAACTGTTTTGTTAAATAGCAAATGTGCCTACTCTGGCACGTGCGATCTAGCCAACAGCTCGCGGATACAGTGCGCGTAGGCTGTGCAGGTAGTCTAGCGTACATGATGATGACGATTTACTTGTCAAACAGCAGTCAAGCATGGATCATCATGTCACCAGAATAAGACCCTCGATATTTATTAGAAAGGAGCATCAACCGATGTCATGCACTTTCACCACACTGTGAAGTTCAACATCATTTATTTAATCTGTAGCATAATACACTTTATGGTTTCCTGAGTGGTAGTGGGAGGACCACACACCATATCATCGCGTAACTCCAAGTTTACTTCAATATGACGGTTATTATATCAATATTTGCACACATAGGTGTTTCCACCATCATTTCTCACAATTTATTTTACCGCCACAAAAAGATCCCACCATGTCGAACAAACAAATGATCTGTCGCCATTTATAAAATTACACTGAAAATTCCTGTATCCATCACAGCTGTCGTTATTGTTTTTATACAGTATGTCTTTACTCGCATAAAAACTGTGGATGGAAAGGTGGTTCCACACACACACACCCTCTGGCACTGCCAGACACATAGAAGCACCAGTAACTGATAAGATAGCTATTTTAACTCCTCTCGCTTTCTTTCCCTCCAATAGTCATCCCCTTGGTCCTCAGTCTCCTGTTGGACTGTGAGACTGTTTCCCCACTAGATGCCACTTAAAACACGTCAGCCCTCCAGACTTGACCCCTCGAGGCTGACACACACACACACAAGCTGCCACAGGGGGCCGGAGTCAAGGGAGACTCATGGCGTCTGAGCGCTCTAGTGTGTGTGTGTGTGTGTGTGTGTGTGTGTGTGTGTGTGTGTGTGTGTGCGCGCACGGCGGAGCTCCCAGATTACAGGAGCCAGGGTCTAGCCAGGGAGACGACGCTATTATCTTGGCCATATGCTAACTCTGGCCAACATCCAACAACTGTCAGACACAGGCACGCCGCACACGTAAACAGTGCATCAATCTCACCTTGATGAAAGGTTCCAGTGGAGGAGGCGGCAGTGGAGGAGGTTGCCGTAGTGACCACAGCAGAGGGGAGGGGCTTCCCAGGTGTGAGGGACTTGCGTCCGCGCTGAACACCAATCCCTTGGCTAATGCTCTTCTTGCCCTGTTTGACCTCCGACCCCGGTTTGCCTTCTGACCCTGTGGGGGGGCAGTCCTTAGCACCCCCGGAGTGCACCGGCACTTCCTGGAAGTTGGCGGTGGTGAAACGGGCAGCACTGTCGTCCAATCGCTTTTGAGAGGAGGCGGGCATAGAGGAGACTCCTCCTCCACCACTGCTGCTGCTGTTGTAACTCTGAGAGCGGGATGAGGAGAGGAGAGGACAGGAGGAAAAGACAGGAGAGGAGGGGGAGTATGTGAGAGGTCAGTCCTGCATAATGCCTAACAGAGCTAGTCAATGTTCATCTGACATTAAACCCACAGAGTGAGACAGTGAGACGGAGAGACAGAGAGAAAGAAAGAAAGAGAGAGAGAGGGAGGGAGGGAGCTGGGCGCAGAGGAGGAGAGAGCTCACCTTGTCTGAGGCAACCATGAGAGTTGGCGCAAGGGAAGGGGAGAGCTCTAGAGTCTTCTTGTATTTGGGTTTGTGTCTCTCCCTCTCTTTGTGTTTCTGAGGAGAGAGAAGGGAGGGATGAGCGTTACGGAAGGACAAGAAAGCGGAGGATGAGACAGATGAGTGTCTGGGTTGCTCTGGTCCCAAACCTATGGCACTGCTTCTGAAAGAGAAAATTAGAGCGAAATAGAGAAAACTGATCTTTAATTCACAGCCCCAGTCTGAGGTGAAAGGATGGTTCTACTGCAATGAAAAGAGAATAAAAAAACAAAGTGCTTAAAACAGAAGAAAGAGATTAAAATCTGCAGACACTTGGTTTTTTGTCTTCTTAGTGAGAGACTCCACCCAACCAGATCCATGGCCTAAACCCCTTAGAACTCAATTTACACCCTTAGTTACACACACCCTCACTTCTCTCACCCCAGAGGGCCAAACCCCCTGCAGGTGTGAAAATATGCAGTGATCCTGTGAGACAACATGAGACTTAACATGCTACTGACAGACAGCACCATGACAACCATCGACCCTGCCCCCAGCATCCCTCTCTCTTTTCTCTCCACCAACCCTCTCTCTACCTCAATCCCTCTGTTGTCCTCCTGTCTTTTCCTTCACTGTAGCTTCCAATATTTCTTTCACTGTAGCTCCCAGGGTGTGTGGGTGTGTCAGGGCTGGTAGCTCATTGTAGCTAACTATACATGTGTCTGTGTGTGTGTGTGTTTAACAGGGTAGGTTCCCGGGGATTTCCCTTGTTGTTTCTCATTAACATTCCAGCGGTAGGTGTTGATGGACAGAGTTAGGCTGAGAGGGTCAAATGTCCACAAACACATCCACTTTTTCACTTTGCACACTTGGAGAGACTCCCCCCTTATCAGAGCTGGAGACATGGAGAAGAAAAGGGAGGGAGGGAAAAGAGGAAAACAGGGGGGAAATAATCCACCCTAGCCTGGCAGGAATTCCCTTGGGCAGTTTCCTGCAGGCTCTCTGACCAGCCGGTGTGTGTGTGTGTGTTTCTTGCAGACTGTATGAGTGGCCTGAGGAAGGAGAGGCTTTTAGCCCCTTGTTATTTGGCTGCAGGGTTTGGAAATAGATAGGCGCACACACACACACACACACATCTGAGCCTTCTGACCCCTGACCCTGGAATGTGGAGGGGGTAGGAGGGAGGGGTCCTCTTGCTAATGCAAATCAGGCTGTGTCACAAAAGCCAGGGCAAGGAAGGGAACACTAGGGACTGGACAAATGTGCCAACTCTGCTTATTTCACACGCACACACACCACCACTGCTCCATTAAAAGAATCACCCCAAAAAAACAGAGCAACAGGCTCACCCATGAGTCATATTCTAGTTGACTGACCATGTAATACAGGAGCATGCTCAATGCACTCACATATTACATGGTATTGTGAACAATGTTAGCTAAAAACTCAAGATCTCGAAAACATCAAGTTCAGAAAATCAATTGGCTTTCTTTCGCAGTCCAAAAAGAATACAGTGAAAAAACTACCTACAACTGAAACACACAAAAAAACTGGCAATGGACTACAGGCACATTATCCAAATCAGGAAAAACTCAGACGTTTTATCGAATGAGGTGGAGCGATAAGGAGTGGGCCAATCGGGTGAGGGAAACAGATTGATGGAGCGGGTGACTTCCTCTGATGTCATAAAGGAAGAGGATACATGGCCAGAGACCATGGTCCTGTTCATACACCTTAAAGATGAGCTCAGAAACATGACATCAAAGACAGCGGAGCAACTTCCTACTTACAGACATTAACAACAACTAAATTCTAAATCGACCGAGACTAATTTTTTTGGGCTCTACTCATTCCAGGCCTTCCCTCACTTGAGGTGACACCCAAGAGAGGCAGTCTAGGCAGGTTAAAATGTTTATTGTTGATTTCTGGAAGCAGGAACTCCCGATACTGTGAACAAGTACATCATATTCCTGGGTCTACCTTTAACCATGCATCTTTCCTTTTTTCCATCCTATATGTAATCACTGATCTAATATGGATGGATAGGTGAAAACTAGGGTTCCACTACATAGATTATACCTACACTGTCATGTCAGATAAGTGGTAACTAAGGAAGGGAGGAAGGAAGGAAGGATGGATGGAAGGATGCATGTGTAAGGTATTAGAACAGGCCCACAGCCAGAATAGAGAATCGATGACGCTGGACAGAAAACCATACGCTCTCTCTCACACAGGAGTGGCGTAGTCGGCTGAGTGTCTATGCCACTAACAGGACTGTGACTGATTAACTCTGACTGGTTTATAAAGTGTTGGTTAGAGACCGAGATCCCTGGTGCCTCACATGATAATTCAAAGGACCTAGGACAAGGGTGTCAAACAAATTTTTCCCAGAGGGCCGCACATAAAATGTGTTCTAACTCTTCACCGTCAACATAAAAAAAAAAAATTTGTCCTCTATCCATCACTTTTGAAATGTTAGATGCTCACTGACTGTCTAGCTTTCGCATCAATGACTGTTAGCAAGTCGGACAGAAGAGACTATAATTGTAGGTCCATAATAATTTCTACCCAGTTTCGATTTGGATTTTGTCATTTCAATGTTGATCGAGATCATTTTTCCACAGGGGAAAAAATAAATACACTGAACAAAAATATAAAACGCAACATGTAAAGTGTTGGTCCCATGTTTCATGAGCTGAAATAAAAGATCCCCGAAATTATCTGGTCACACCAGAAACTGACTGGTTTTCTGATCCACACCCCTACCTTTTGTTGTTGTTGGTATCTGTGACCAACAGATGCATATCTGTATTCCCAGTCATGTGAAATCTATAGATCAGGGCCTAATTTATTTATTTCAATTAACTGATATCCTTATATGAATTGTACTCATTACAATCTTTGAAATTGTTGGATGTTCTGTTTATATTTTTGCTCAGTGTATATACATACATATATATACAAACACATACATACATACAGTTGAAGTTGGAAGTTTACATACAGTTAGGTTGGAGTCATTAAAACTTATTTTTCAACCACTCCACAAATGTCTTGTTAACAAACTATAGTTTTGGCAAGTCGGTTAGGACATCTACTTTGTGCATGACACAAGTAATTTTTCCAACAATTGTTTACAGACACTCCAACAACTGTTTACAGACAGATTATTTCACTTATAATGAACTGTATCACAATTCCAATGAGTCAGAAGTTTACATACACTAAGTTGACTGTGCCTTTACACAGCTTGGAAAATTCCAGAAAATGATTTCATGGCTTTAGAAGCTTCTGATAGGCTAATTGACATCATTTGAGTCAATTGGAGGTGTACCTGTGGATGTATTTCAAGGCCTACCTTCAAACTCAGTGCCTCTTTGCTTGACATCATGGGAAAATCAAAAGAAATCAGCCAAGACCTCAGAAAAAAAATCGTAGACCGCCACAAGTCTGCTTCATCCTTGGGAGCAATTTCCAAATGCCTGAAGGTACTACGTTCATTTATACAAACAATAGTACGCAAGTATAAACACCATGGGACCACACAGCCGTCATACCGCTCAGGAAGGAGACGCGTTCTGTCTCCTAGAGATGAACGTACTTTGGTGCGAAAAGTGCAAATCAATCCCAGAACAACAGCAAAGGACCTTGTGAAGATGCTGGACGAAACAGGTACAAAAGTATCTATATCCACAGTAAAACAAGTCCTATATCGACATAACCTGAAAGGCCGCTCCAAAACCGCCATAAAAAAGCCAGACTACGGTTTGCAACTGCACATGGGGACAAAGATTGTACTTTTTGGAGAAATGTCCTCTGCTCTGATGAAACAAAAATAGAACTGTTTGGCCATAATGACCATCGTTATGTTTGGAGGAAAAAGGGGGACGCTTGCAAGCCGAAGAACACCATCCCAACCGCGAAGCACGGGGTTGGCATTATCATGCTGTGGGGGTGCATTGCTGCAGGAGGGACTGGTGCACTTCACAAAATAGATGGCATCATGAGGAAGGAAAATTATGTGGATATATTGAAGCAACATCTCAAGACATCAGTCAGGAAGTTAAATCTTCGTCGCAAATGGGTCTTCCAAATGGGCAGTGACCCCAAGCATACTTCCAAAGTTGTGGCAAAATGGCTTAAGGACAACAAAGTCAAGGTATTGGAGTGGCCATCACAAAGCCCTGACATCAATCCTATAAAAAATGTGTGGGCAGAACTGAAAAAACGTGTGCGAGCAAGCAGCCTTACAAACCTGACTCAGTTACACCAGCTCGGTCAGGAGGAATGGGCCAAAATTCACCCAACTTATTGTGGGAAGCTTGTGGAAGGCTACCCGAAACGTTTGACCCAAGTTAAACAATTTAAAGGCAATGCTACCAAATACTAATTGAGTATATGTAAACTTCTGACCCACTGGGAATGTGATGAAATAAATAAAATCTGAAATAAATAATTCCCTCTACTATTATTCTGACATTTCACATTCTTAAAATAAAGTGGTGATCCTAACTGACCTACGACAGGAATTATTACTAGGATTAAATGTCAGGAATTGTGAAAAACTGAGTTTAAATGTATTTGTCTAAAGTGTATGTAAACTTCCGACTTCAACTGTATGTATATACATGTGTATACATGTGTGTATATATACATATATATATATATATATATATATATATATATACACATATACATACTACCGTTCAAAAGTTTGGGGTCACTTAGAAATTCCCTTGTTTTCGAAAGAAAAGCATTTTTTTGGTCCATTAATATAACATCAAATTGATCAGAAATACAGTGTAGACATTGTTAATGTTGTAAATGGCTATTGTAGCTCGAAACGGCTGATTTTTAATTGAATATCTACATAGGCGTACAGAGGCCCATTATCAGCAACCATCAGTCCTGTGTTCCAATGGCACGTTGTGTTTGCTAATCCAAGTTGATCATTTTAAAAGGCTAATTGATCATTAGAAAACCCTTTTGCAATTATGTAAGCACAGCTGAAAACTGTTGTGCTGATTAAAGAAGCAATAAAACTGGCCTTCTTGAGACTAGTTGAGTATCTGGAGCATCAGCAATTGTGGGTTCGATTACAGGCTCAAAATGGCCAGAAACAAATAACTTTCTTATTTTATTTTTATTGACCAGTCTGAGATATGGCTTTTTCTTTGCAACTC